GGTCAACAGTGGGAGGCCTTCTAGTGTCCTGGCCCTGCTGCTGGACCTCCTGAGGGCACCTGGTGTTTTTGGCCACTGTGGGATACAGAGTGTTGGACTGGATGGGCCATTGGCCTGATCCAACACTGGCTTCTCTTATGTTCTCCGTGTCCTTATGACGGTAGTAGTTGGGCCGGTTCATAAGGGAGCAGGTGGTCCTTTAAGTATGTTGGCTCCCAAAAACAAATTTGACAAAAAATGGTGTTTTACACATATTGGCTTCTCTGGGCTGACTTGATTTTGGCAGCTGTCTAATGTGAAATCCCATCAGCTGTCAAATACTATCAGAGACTTGATAATGTTGTGTGTCAGAGAGAAAGTGCCTTGGTCAGATGTCAAATCGTGCTGCAGGGCGATCAGAAAGGCAGCTGTGTGAGGAATGCGTCCCGACTCTTCCGTCCTGTCATTTTGAACACTGGTGCTGCATCCCAAGGACCAAAGGCTGTCAGATCCAAAACAGCCCTGCATTTAGGTTTGCCAACCTCCAGGTGGTGGTTGGAGAACTCCTGGGATTATAATTTATCTCCAGACAAGAGAGATCAGGTCCGTCATGATCTGGGCTGTGTCACCAGAGGCCTACTAGGCCCAGGGAGCCTGGCTAGCAGGAGGTGAGGCTGGGCCTACAACTCCCAGAAGCCCCTGAGAGGTTTTGGAGCCAAAATTGACCAATAGGGAAGAAGAGGGCTGGGGAACAGAAGGGCTGGTGCCAGAGCAGAAGCGGTTCTTTCTTCCAGAGGGCAGAGCCAGAAGGAAGGCTGCTGCAGGAAGAGACCCTCATCCTGAGGGAAGGGTGAGTAGTCTAGTGGAAGAAGAAGAAGAAGAAGAAGAAGAAGAAGAAGAAGAAGAAGAAGAAGAAGAAGAAGAAGAAGAAGAAGAAGAAGAAGGGGGAATTGGATTTATACCCCACGTTTCACTACCCAAAGGAGTCTCAGAGTGGCTTACAATCTCCTTTCCCCTCCCCTCCCCACAACAGACACCCTGTGAGGTAGGTGGGGCTGGTGAAGCTCTAAGAGATCTGCTCTTGAGAGAACAGATCTGAAAGAACTCGTGACTGACCCAAGGTCATACCAGCAGCTGTAAGTGGAGGAGTGGGGGATCAAACCCGCTTGTTCCAGATTAGAGTCCGTGCTCCTAACCACTACACCAAACTGGCTCCGAATGGGCACCCTGAAAGGTGGACTCTATGGCATTTTACCACAATGAAGTCCCTTCCCTCCACAAACCCTGCCCTCCTTCTTTGTATCTGAAGAAGTGAGCCATGACTCACAAAAACTTCTCCCCAGCCATAAATTTTTGTTAGTCTTTAAGGTGCTCTTTTCGACTCATCTCCAGACAGTGGAGCTCAGTTCCCCTGGGGAAAAATGGCCGCTTTGGGTAGGCTGCACAGCATTATATCCTACTAACCCTCCCCAAATCCCACCCTCCGTAGGCTCCGCCTCCAAAAATCTTCAGGAATTTCCCAGCAGGGAGCTGACACCCCTAGCCAGTGTTCCCTCTAAG